GGAGGAGAAGAAGAAGAAAAGAGAAAAAGAAGAGGGGTGACGAAGGAGAAAGGAGAAAAGAGAAGAAGAGGAGAGAATAGTATTTTTGTCTTTACATTATTTATATCATATTAGTTAACGAATTTTACTAACGGATCTTAACAATGGGTGAAAAATTATCATTTTGAAACTGTTTGGGTGAAAAGTATCGTTTGGCCAAACCTTGGATGGAAAATTGTCATTTTCCCATGTAAGAAATTAAAGGGAGGATTTTAGGAAGAACTATTTTCCATTTTGACTAATACTACACCCACAACCTCTTCTTAGAAACTTTCTCTCACAACCTTGACGTGATAACTCGTAATTGGTGTTGTAAAATAATTTAGAAAACAAGGAAAAATTAGAAAACCGGAGACGTGTTATAAACAATGTCCTTAAAGATTATTTCGCCACAATAAATATTTTAAGAATGCAAAACTCCCCTAGGATTTAACAGGTTCTTCTGAAATAATTTCAGGTACACAGAACAGTAAGAGATTTTAATTAACCTAGAGAGGAAATACAGAGGGAAAGACTGATAAGTTATCTCATTGTGAAGAGTAAATAACTCTTCTATTATGACGTTACAATAATGTTGTGATTGAGTAAAGATAGGAGAAAGATAAGGCTCATGAAGAAGTCAAGGATTTTTATTATAATGTTATAATAACGTTGTAATTGAGGAAAGATAGGAGAAAGATAAGGCTTATGAATGTAATGAAGAAGTCAAGGATAATGCTAACTCCAACAATTAGTAAAACTCCTTGATAAAGTTTAGGAATAATTGGTCAAATGCAATAAAAAATAATAACGGTCCTAGATTTTTGAAATATCAATAATAATTCAATAATCCCTCACATATTTTAAAAAGATTTGGGAAAAGAAAAATAAGAAGAAAGTTTTCTAAGTTAAAACATGAGTGTAGATGCTTCGAATCTAGTGTCTTTTGGACTATGAACCAGACCTAGACAAATAAGACTTGACATACAAAGTTGTCGGTGAAGTTTTTAGCTTCTATGAACCAAAACCCTTTTTAGTAAGTTAGAATCCTATCAATCACATTACACTCTCATAATTCTTACAGTTGATGCTGTTTTGCATTTATAGACCATGTGCTCGCCTGGTAGTTCATGAGTGCTCTAGAGATTATGCCACAATCTCATAGGAGCGGCCCCACTCCACACTCATATAGGTGATTTCATCAAATGTATACTGCAATTTTACACCACCCATAAGGGATATGAAAATCATTAAGAGCTTTTAGCTCATTCTCTCATTTAATACAGTCTAGCACTTCTCACACCATAAGATGGGACAAAAATAATAGTGCTAGCAGAATTAACTAGTGACTTGTTATTACCCATACGAACCTTATTCATGGGATCTTCAATCACAAAGGTTGGGTTACCATCACTCTTAATTTCTCAGGTTGGCTCAAGTCCCATTCCCCTCGATGTTTCATTTATTAATTTTCTTCCTAAAGGCTTAGTTAAAAGATCGGCCAAATTCACTTCTGACTTCACATAATCAATGATTATAATTCCATCTTTTAGCAACTACTTAACCACATTATGCCTCAAATGAATGTGTATATTCTTACCATTGAAGGTTTTATTCTTTGCAATGGCTATTGTTGCTTGGCAATCACAATTCATAGATACAGAAGGTGTTGGTTTTGTGCCAAACAGAATATTTGCTAAGAAGTTTCTCAACCACTTAGCCTCATTACTAACCAATTCTAAAGCAATAAACTCTGACTTTATCGTGCATTTAGTAATAATAGTTTGTTTGGTTGATTTCCAAGTAACTGCACCACCACCAAGGTGAATACCTAACCACTAGTGGATTTTATCTCATCTGAATCTGAAATCCAGTTAGCATCACTGTATCCTTCTAATACAGCGGGAAATCTATTATATAGAATACCATAGTTCATGGTACCTCTCAAATATTTCATTAATCTGACCAATGTAGCCCAATGATCATGATTGGGATTGTGTGTATACCTGCTCAATCTACACATAACATATGCTATGTTAGGTCGAGAAAAGTTCATCAAATGCAACAGAGTCACAATAATCTATGCGTACCCAAATGAGCAACAGGATCGCCTATATTTTTCTTTAATTGAGTGTTAGCATCATAAGAGGTAGTCACTGGTAAGACATCGAAATGTCCAAAGTTCTTAAGAAGTTTCTCAACATAATGTTCTTGCGATAGCATTATACTATGACCTTTCCTTATGATTTTAACACCCAAAATCACACTTGCTTCACCTATGTCCTTCATATCAAAATTTGAGGCAAGAAAACATTTTGTTTTGTGCACTATATCACGACAAGTACCAAAAATGAGCATGTCATCCACATATAAACAAATAATTATGCACTCATCATTTACAAGTTTTGTATACACACATTTATCAACTTCAACAGAAGAAAAGCCATCACAAATCAAAACTTGATCAAATTTCTCATGCCACTATTTTGGTGCTTGTTTTAAACTATATAAGGAAAGCTGTTTTAACATCCATTTGGTGAATAAAAAGTTTATGGGTTGAAGTTAGAGCAATTAAAACTCTAATGGAAGAAATTCTAGTCACAAGAGCATAAGTGTCAAAATAGTCAACATTTTGTTTTTGATTAAGACCTTTTGCAACCAATCCTACTTTGTGTTTTTCAATTGATTCATCAGGGTTGTATTTCTTTTTAAAATTCCATTTGCAACCAATAGGTTTAGCTCGTGGAGATAAATCTACCAAAACCCAAGTATTATTATGTGTAATAGAATCAATTTCAGTTTCAATAGCTTTTTTCCAAAGTAGAGTATTAGAAGAAGTAATGGCATCAGAATAAGTTAATGGATCATTTTCAACAAGACATATATAAAAATCATTTCCAAATGAAGTTTCTTTTCTTTGTCTTTTGCTTTTTCTCAAATCGTTAAAAAGATTTTCAATAACATTTTGTACAGGTGCATGAGAAATGTTCTTAGATTTTAAAGGAAAAACATGTTCAAAGAATTCAACATGCTTTGTCTCGATTATAGTATTGCAATCAAGCACATCACTTTTCAAAATAAGAAATCCATAAGCAGCACTATGCTCAGCATAACCAATAAACATGCAAATCAGATGTCTTAGAACCTATTTTCCTTTTCTTAGAGACATGAAGCATCACCTTAGCAAGACATCCCCACACTTTCAAATATTTTAAATTAGGCGTATATCCCTTCCATAACTCATACGGTGTCTTACTAGTTTTCTTATAAGGAATTCTATATTTTAAATGACATGCAGATAATAAAACCTCACCCCAAAGATTATCAGGTACAGAAGAACTAACAAGCAAAACATTCATCATTTCTTTTAAGGTCGTATATTTTTCCTTTCTGCTACTCCATTAGATTCAGATGAATAAGGAGGAGTAATTTCATGTAATATTCCTTCCTTTTCACAAAAATCATTAAACAAGGCATATTCACCTCCTCTATCTAATCTAACCCTTTTAATCTTTCTATCTAATTGATTTTATACTTCAGCTTTATACAAAAGAAACATGTCAAAAGCCTCATCTTTATTTCTAAGCAAATATACCTTAGTGAACCTAGAAAAATCATCAATAAAATTCATCTAATATTTTTTTACCACCTCTATTCATCGTTTGTTTCAAATCTCCTAGGTTAGTATGGATTAAACTAAGCAATTCAGTTTCTCTTTGTATGGAGGGGCAAGATTTCTTAGCTAATTTAAATTCAACACATACCTCACATTTATTCAAGCATGTATTACTAATACCATAAATTAAACCAAGATATTGCATTTTCTTAATATAAGAAATACTAACATGTCCTAATCTAGCATGCCACATATCAATAGAATCAATCAAGTCAGCAAAAGAAGATGCATTTCCATTCATAATTTCAGAAACATTGAGTACAAAAAGTCTTTGGTTACAATAACCTTTGCCCACAAAATCATTATTCTTTGTCATTACAAATTTATTAGATTGGAATGACACCTTAACCCCAACCTTTCCTAATAGAGCCACTAAAATTAAATTTGCTCTAATATTAAGCACGTGAAGCACTTCATTGAGGGCCAAAGTCTTGCCAGATGTGAGCTTGAGAGGAATTTTACCTTTGCCAAGAACATTAGCAGTTCGAGAATCACCAAGATATACATGTTCTTCTTCATCCCCTACAACAGTGTAGGAGGTAAAAACATCTTTGTTTGCACAAGTATGCCTAGTAGCACTAGAGTCTACCACCCATTCTTTCACATTGGCCACAAGATAAGCTTGAGAAATGACCGCTACAATTATATCACCATGTCCTTAAACCAAATTTTTCTTTGGCTTAGGAGGATTGTCATTTCTCATTCTCTTTCTACATTGAGGTGCATGATGACCTGGCTTTCCACAAACAAAACAATTTCCCTTCTTTTTGAAGTTGGCGTTAGTAGCTTTACGCTTGTAATCAGGTTTTTTGTTATCGCACCTCTTATTTTGCTTGTGAAATTTATCTTGCACCAAGTGTGCTTTTGAAGCTATCTCTATTGATTCTGCAACTTTGAGTTCCTTTCTATTGGTGTCCTCAATTATGATGTGGGTGGTCAAATCTGCAAGTGACGATTGCTTGTGCTTATGTTTGAGTTGTTGCTTGTAATCCTTTCAAGATTTTGGCAGCTTTTCAATCAGCAATCCTACAATAAACTTATCTTGCAAATTGAGGTTTTCAGCCTTGAGATCTTTTAGAAGTTTGTGGTATTCATTTATTTGCATCTTGATATCCTTGTCACTTGTCATCTCCCACCTATAGAAGTTGCCAATAACAAATTTTTGCTTCCCAACAATCTCAGCAGTGTATTTTAGTTTCATTGAATCCCATATATCCTTGACTTCTTTATGGGGGCAATAGATATCAAACAAGTCATTAGATAAGGTGCTAATGATAGTATGCCTACATACCTTGTTATCATGAGTCTAGATTTCCAATTGTTTTGGATCAGTGGATGATCCAGGTTTAGGATCTGTGAGAGCAGCAGCTACACCGAACATGTCAAGGATCGAAAGAATGCATTCTTGCCATCTTTTAAAATTTTGTCCTCCAAACATTTCAATTTTGGAGATATCAGGAAAAGATTTGGCATATGAGACAACGGCGACTACTAGAATAGCAAAGGCAACTGAATGGGACACTCCATGAAGGCCAGCTACGAAGGAGGTGTTGCCAGAGGCTATAGCTGTAGGATTGTCAATAGTAGTGGCAGAAGAGTTGTTGGCGACAGTAGCAGGAGAATTGTTGCCGAGAGTAGACTCTATAATCCTTAAGATTGTTGTAAAATAATTCAGAAAACAAGGAGAAATTAGAAAACATGAGACGTGTTATATACACTGTCCTTAAGGATTATTGCGTCACAATAAATATTTTAAGAATGCAAAAATCCTCCAGGATTTAACAGGTTCTTCTGAAATAATTTCAGGTACACAAAATAGTAAAAGATTTTAATTAACCCAAAGAGGAAGTACATAAGGAAAGACTGATAACTTATCTCATTGTAAAGAGCAAATAACTCTTCTATTATAACGTTATAATAATGTTGTGATTGAGTAAAGATGGGAGAAAATAAGGCTCATGAAGAAGTCAAGGATAATACTTTTTTTATTATAATATTATAATAAGGTTGTGATTGAGAAAAGATAAGAGAAAGATAAGGCTTATGAATGTTATAAAGAAGTCAAGGACAATGCTAACTCCAACAGATAGTAAAACTCCTTGCTAAAGTTTAGGAATAATTGGTCAAATGGAATAAAAAATAATAACGGTCCTCAAAATCTTTTTGAAATATCAATAATAATTCAACAATTAGTTAGCTACAATTTATTAGATGAGACTCATATAAGATTCATTACGAGTTGACTAATTACAAACTGTCACGTTAGAGTTGTGAAAAGAAGTTTGTGAGAAGAAATTGTGAGCACAACATTTTCCATTTTTAAAAGCATAGTAAGGAGAATCATCATTTGCTTCAAAGTTCGAAACCTTCTCACCCTTAAAAAATTGTAGGCCCTGCAACGCCTGTCCATAACACTATGTTAAGTTATTAACTAGATGGTGGTCTCCGGCTACAGTAGAGATTCGAAGACACAAAATGAGTTCGGGGGCACACAACACAACACAAAGACCATCATCACACTCTTGCCCTCACTTCGCAGTGTTCTTCAGAGGCATTCCATTATACTGTTTTGAAGTGCCAAAATCATTATGCTACAAACTTGTATCATACATCAGTACAACAAATTATTGCAGTCTCCACAGCCAGTCCCCACCGTAAAACCCCATCTTTAACTAGTAAAAGTTAAAAGGGAAAGATCATGGTGAAAAGTGAAAACATCCAAAAAGAATTTTCAATAGTGACGCCATAGTATAGCCCATTCTATCTCAATACTCTTTATGCTATCAGAAAGCTTCATAAAGCCTTTTCTTCCTACTTCAAACAGTACTTTTATATTTCAAAAAAGATATGGACCAATGGTAAAGTTAAAAAAGAAAAAAAATCCTAAAAACTTTCGACCGAATGGCTATCAACAGAGTATATGATATTCAAGTATCTTCAGTTTGCATGATTCATTACAAATTAAAATGTTTTTCTGTCAGCATAGCAGAGTGCACAAGTCCTTCATCCTTGCTTGTGAAATGTTGGTATATGGGAAAACCCTGAAGTTGCCATTGCCCATACAAGTCAATGTCATCTGTGAGTTACTCACCATAGTCTGCAATTTTCATTTGACGAATATTAGCATGCATGCAGTTTCATGGCATTAAGAGCTTATTAGTTATATAAGAAGGTCTATTCTTGACGATCTTCTAATACATTATTTCTTAGTATGTGAAAAGCTATAGTTGGCGCAAACAGTATCGATTAAAAATAAATACGATCCTCTTTGATGCAAAGATAGTATCAAATGCAGCCATCTACACACATTATAAAAGAAGTTTCTATGAATAGAGCATTTATGACATATGAAAGTAGTTTACAACAAGTTATATAGTCAGTCAAAGGAAGGGATTCGGTTGACAATGTGATGCAGTAACTTACTTTCAAGAAGACATTTTTTTATGTTCACAGTCCAGTGTATACTCTTAAGCTGATAAGAGTAATGAAATTTTTTTCCTATATTTGCTCTATAATTCACACTTATTCTTGGAAATGGCTTTTTGTCCGAGGACATATGTTTATGGGGTCAAATTCATAATACAGGGCAGTTTCGTGCATGGGCTTATTTCCTTTTCCCTTCCAAATATAGTCAGTTTGCCCTTAGCGTCAAACTTTGAATATCATATAATTTGATGCGCTAAAATCGAAACCGTACCTCGCAATTAGCTGTTATGTCATTGCAACTCCACCTTTTAGAAGGAATGCAGTCAATATATTTGCACCATTTGCAATATTGGTTTACATTTATTCCTCCAAGTACTGCTCCAAGAGATCCAAGAAGCCTGCATGCAAACAAAAGCTCTTCTTAGTTCTTACAATTCTTGCAGAAAAAGATATGGACCAACAGCAGGAAAGAGCTTATCACCGAATTGAAAGGAGAACTCACACAAAAACAAAAAGAATAAGACAGACACCCCTTATGATTGGCCTGTCTAGCTTCAGCTTTGATTTGATAGAACTTTTGGTACTATACTCGTAGAGGCCTGCCTTGTTGTGAACCAATGGCTTAACCTCAGGGGTGAACAGAAGCACGAAACCAAGTAGAAATCCTGATATAAGACCACCAATGCTTGAAAAATTATTTACATAAGGTAGCAAACCGACAGCAAAATTGATTGTGGAGACAAAGAAAAGAAATGATATCGCCGCCAACTGAAATCAAGCAAAGGAGGGATCAATGCACCGATTAGTAAGATTAATGAAGAATACATGATTTTGGTGGTGGTGGTGAAAGAGAAGGTGAAGGACCTTATGAGTGTAAACATTCCAGTCCCGTAGGACCCCAGAAAGCATAGCTCCAAGCAAACCAAATAATGCGCCAGAGGAACCGACTGCTGGGCTATTTGTGATGAATAGTGCGGCGGCCAAGCTTCCAACAAAAGCAGAGAGTATATAGATGATACCTGTCCTCACTGTGCAACAGAACCAGAAAAAAATAAAAGAAGGTAAATTACCCATTAATAGCATTCAAAATCTATTTGTAAACCTATAATATCATGCTATAATTCTTAGCTAAGATGATAGCTAATAAGATGGCAAAGTAGTTACGCGGTCCAAACACTTGCTCTAAGTGAATTCCTACAAAGATGACGCTGCCGAGGTTGATGATTAGATGAATGAGCCCAGCATGCAACCCAGTGCATGTGAACAGACGCCAAGCATGGTGATTCTCTTCCAGAAAATTCTGGCGGAGAGCTCCCATTTCATCAAACCTGTGAGAACATATTAATTTTATCAATGATGATAATACATTATACCACTTCATTTTCAGCGTGCTTGACAAACACTAGAGATTCAAACTAAAGCATTGGACTATGAAATCTCAAAAGCTTCTAGCGCAACAGTGTTCTTCACCCGGAAGATAGATGAAGCATTATGTATGTATAATGGCAGAAAGCATCAGCAAGTCAATTCCAGTATACATTCGCATAAAAAATAAAATAAAATTCCGCCTAAGTCAAAATTTTCCGATATTGGGCTGCAGAACTAAAAGAAAACTGATGAATGATTGGAAATAAACAGGTTCAATGCACAAATCAAGAATTTACTTTTCTATCCCATAAAATTCCTCGCAACAAGAAGGGATCCATAATCTAAAAACAACTTTGAGGAATCACCAAGGATAATAACAAAAAGATTTCTAAAAACCCTAAATATCCAGGAATCTAGAGCTAAATGGTTAACTAAGCCAGCAGTATTGTTTAAGTTGCTTACCAACTATTATTTAATTAAATATAAATTCAACAAAAATAATTCAATTATTGGCATCGTAACTAAGCAAAACCACAACAAGATTAGCGGTCTCAGAAAACCTAATGCAAACATTTGGTGTACCTTCGACGCAAGAACTAAGAGAATCAAGACACCACCTCTCATATTCTGTTGTTACAGAAGCCAAATCACAAGAAACCTAAATTTTAACCGAACATATCACGACAAGGTTCCCATTTCACACAAAATAAAACTCGCATAAACAGAGAAAAAAATTACTGACGCAGAAGCAGAGGGACCGAGTAAAGGATTCTCAGGGAGTGGCTGAAACGACAGCCTTCCGAGCGCTTTGAGTGCGCAGTCACCGTGAGAGTTTCTCCAGCAATCATTGGCAACCATGGTGGCAATGAAGGCCACGACATGGAGGATGACGAAGACGGAGATGATCCACGTGTCGCTTTTTCTTATACCGGCTCGAGACTTGAAGAAAGGAGTTTTTTGGTGTTCTCGGTCTTGGTTTTTTGATAAGGAGAAGGGACGAGTTGGAGGTGAGGGTGGCCGTAGCGTCTTGATTTCGAGGTGGCTTTGGAATTTGGCGGCGGGAGTGTCTCCCATTGTTGGCATTGCTTGTGAGAGACGCTGCTCGTCTTCTTTGGGTTTTATAGCTGTTGCCAGTTGTTGTATTCAGGTGTAACAGACTCCGAAAGTGGCAGTTAGAATTGGCGGGAAAATTTTGTTTATGTTATATACTTATATTTATACAATAATGATAGGCGGTACAAAAGAAATATGCGAATATTTTACAAAAAGTCAATATTTGTTCTTTCATTTGTTTACTGGGACATCAATTTTGTAAAAAAAAATTTTATATAAATATATATATCTTTTCGTCACATAACTTCAAGCGGATCCGTGGCGCAATGGTAGCGCGTCTGACTCCAGATCAGAAGGTTGCGTGTTCGATTCACGTCGGGTTCAATTATTTCAAAAAAATAATTCTTTTTGTTAACGGTTTACTTATGTATTGAGTAACAAATTCATGATTGCCACTCCTTATGTATTATGATTGAGTGAAGTTAGAATTGGTGATGCATAATTGTCATATTTACATTTCATTTTGACTTCAACCCCATGATTGTTATGCTCATCTTGATTCTATATGCAGGATTTCAACTGATTTTGTTGACTCTAGATATAATAGCTTCACCAAATTATTAAGGAATTTTAATATGCAATGCAATGTTAAAGCTATTATCAACTAACACAGAAGTCTATATAGTTGGGTAGTAGACGGGTGATAGGATTAGGTTTCTTAAGAAAATGACTTGTTAACAATTATATTGATATCAATGCCGCCATTATTGATCTCTACAATTATTACTCACAGCTGTTGCTAAATTTTCATTTATTTAATAAATATAACAATTCACGTGGAATGGATATGGTGGAATTCTTGTACTAAACAATTTCACATGTTTTTCATCCATTCCTGCCCTCCGAGAGATTATAGAAAACACTGAAAACAATTTCGTTTTTCAACCGAGTTACTCTCATTTTACAGAAAAAGAACAGTAATACGGTGTTTAAAAAGTAAAAGCGAGAGCGTACGGTGGGATTAGTCGGGTTGCAACCTGCAATTATATCTTGGTGGCGGGAATTGACGGCTATTAAAATATCTCCAACGAAAGTACCCAAGCTATAAAAAAGGAAATCTAAGTCTACAGATTTTCGCCCATTCATTAGCGTTGAATTGAAGCCTAGCCAATCCGCTACTCGGCACCAGGTCAGTTCTAAATCTAAATTCGTTCTCGTTTACAGCCGTTAACGTTTCTGTTCACTAATTAATATTTTTGCATCATTGTAGGCAGTTAGAAGATGAATTCATCGCTGGGATCAGAAATCGACTCGTTTTACGAGTCGGCTCCGCCTCTGAAAGAGCGCGACAGTATCATGGAGAAATTAAACGAATTTGTCGAACTTAACTGTAAAGGAACGAAACGAGTGGTGTGTGTGACATCTGGCGGTACCACGGTGCCATTGGAGCAGCGTTGTGTTCGTTACATTGATAATTTTAGTTCCGGCCATAGAGGAGCCGCATCTACTGAGTAAATCCTTTTTAATTTTGAAATTAAATTTTCATTTTTGACGAATTACAAAACTAAGGAGAACTCTATGGAAATTCCTCTAATATTAAAATCCCCAATCATGGTTTGTAGGTATTTTTTGAAGGCGGGATACGCGATTATCTTTTTGTATCGAAGGTTAGAGTTTGTTAGCTTCAATTATAATTACTTATTCATTGTTGTAACGAGGATGATGTGGGGAATTTGAATTTTTGTTTAAATTTATGCAGGGGAACGAGCCAGCCGTATTGCAGGTCCCTTCCTGATGATCCGTTGCTTGAATGTTTTGAGGCGACTGATGAATTGAATATTCAAGGTTTGTAGCATTTTGAATTATTATCAAGTTGTATACTCTAGTCGCCTTGGCTAAGTTATAGACGATTCTTTAGGTGATAATGGTGTGTTATGTGCTGGTGCTAGAATTTTTTTGTTGTGGGTGTTATATTACTTGATAGGGTCTCTCTGGATTTTATATGAAATGATGTTTCCTGTTTCACCACTAAGATGATTCAGTTATGTCTAATATTTCAGTTCGCCAACCTTATTCTGAAGCAGTGAAGAGGGCTATTAGGGATCATCATGCTGTATGGGCCATTAATATTTTTGCTAATTTGTAGTGTTTTTGGAATTATCTTCATCTTTGATTTTACTTGTTTGATATATTAATCTGCAACACAATTTAATGATGGGCTACTTTGGGCTCTTATGTTATTGCAGGCAGTAGCAGGCGGTTTTCTGTTAAAACTTCCCTTTACAACTATATTTGAGTATCTTCAGGTTCACTTCAGTCAAACTTTAATTTTTTATCCCTTCTTTATGATTAATGATGGTAATGCAAACTTTCCTCCTGATTTTTGTAAGTTTGTGGTTTAATTTTTTCCATAATGGAGATCTGTTCTTTTATGTCTTCATAGTCTTTGGCTTTGTGATGATGATAATGATAGACCGCATAATATGCCTCCTGGGAAGTCTCACTGTATTTTAGCTAAACTAAATGAGGCCACTGACCTTGCCTTAGTATTATGCATCTTTCATCTGAATCACCTAGGAGTTACCAGTCTTGCTTATTTGTTATTCTCTTTCTCTTGACCAGTTTTGCTTATATGTGCCTAAATGAAGTAGTCCTGCACCAATCTTGCTACGTTTTACTATTTTCTTTGCTTGCCTGCACATTTTTGTGGTTTGACTATTGCTTTGTTATGCTGACTAGTATTCTTTTTTGAACACTTAGTCATCATTATGTGATTGCAATAAAAAGTTTTTAAAATTGCAATTCCTGGAAGAAGCTTTCTCCTATTTATTGAATAGCTGGTCCTATACTATGAGCAGATGTTGCAGATGGTTGCAGTATCACTAAGGAGTCTTGGGCCACTGGCAATGTTCTATCTCGCTGCTGCAGTGTCGGACTTTTATGTTCCCTGGAAAAGCATGGTAATGGTTTAATAAGCATACTAAGAACTGTTCTTGGTTTCAATTTTCAAGCTGCTTTTAATAGCCATGAAAAATAGATTTGTAGTTTCCTGTAGAGAGTTCCACTGCTGGTCAAAATTGTGTATATTTTTGCATTTTTGTATTCTCATTTACTAGGCACAATATATGGCACAAATGAGTTTAGATTAGCATATTGGCGGATAGAAAGTATGCATTGGAGGAGTTATTTATATATCCATAAGAAACATAAAGGTGAAATTTGCCCACAAATTATTTTCTGAGTACTGAATTTTTAATTTATTGAAAATTTGAAATTATCCACCTCTTAATTGCATACTGAAAGCTAGATTAATTTTGCAGGCAGAACACAAGATTCAGTCTGGCTCTGGTCCCCTCGACATGCGGCTTGTGCAAGTGCCAAAAATGCTATCAGTGTTGAGGACAGAATGGGCTCCCATGGCCTTCTGCATATCATTTAAGGTTAGAGAATATGCACCTCTGGAGACTAGATTTTTGTCCAAAGAGTTCTTGAATTAAAATATGTTGTATGTCCCACAAGAGTTAGACCTATAAATGATTCAACAAGATAACCCAAAAAGTTATGGCTTGGTCATGGAGGGCATTTATGTAGGTTGGTCAAGGAAATAGCTTAACAGAAGATTTGAATAAATTAGTATCATGAATTGGTGAGGACTTGCGATACGGAATAAATACAGGTTTTCTTTATGTATGATGTTTCAAAAGTAGTGGAAGACCTATGTAAACTTTCCTCTCTTTTTTACAATGTAGTTGTACTTTGACATTAGAATGCTGCCCAATTAAATTAATATAATTGAAATATGGTTATAGAGACACAATGCGGTTATTTTGTAGTTTACTAGACCTTAAACCAAGGACCTCTTTACCATTAAAATTTGATAATCTTTTCTCTGCTTTACACAGCTTGAGACAGATACAAAGATTCTTCTAGATAAGGCTGATATGGCTCTGAGAAAGTACAAGATGAATGCAGTTGTAGCAAATGAGCTCTTGACTCGCAAAGAGGTGGTCGTAGTTGTCACAGATAGTGAAAAGATTTCAGTTCAGAGAGACAAGACAGAGGCTGGTTCTGATGTAGAAAATCCGTTGGTCAAACTCCTTGTGGACAGACATTCAGCTTTCATCAATGATTTTAATGCATAGCAAACAACAGAGATACATGACATACAACACTAATTGTTAAATGAAATAATACCTAATTTTAGGATCTTTTAGTTTTTCCATTATCTCGAGCCTTGTTTTCTCAAGGATTGTTTCTGTGTTGTATCAGCTTTTCTTTATTTGGCTTAACAAAGTTAAGCCAACAATTGTTTTTATTTTCTTCTTATTCTGAAGAAAATGTTGTATAACGAATAAACTTGTAACTTTTGTCAGTCACCTTGATTTCCTTGTTGATCTAATAATAGTTTCTACGAAGGGATCCAAGGAAAACATTGTAATACTGAAAGAAAGGTTAGTTTTTAATAAAAATGGTTATCCAATCTTTTCAACTTTAGTTTTAGCTTGCAGCCAATAATGTCTTTGCACTACACTCAGTTTTAGCTTGCAATAAAGTCTTTGCGCTACACTCAGTTTTAGCTTGCAGGTGACCATCAATATCAATACGCTTAGTAAATTTAAGCAACAGAATATGGGCTTCCCTTTCTCTGCGCACGTGTGTAAAATCCAGTTCTCTAGTTTGGTTTTGATCTTTAGAAAAGGGGAATGCGAATTGCCAAAGCTCAATTAAGTTAATTGTATTGTTTATTTGTCTTCACCGAGAAATACAGTAGTACTACACTATCAAACACTTTTCACTAACTTTCTCTCACAAATGTGACGTTTCAGCTCATAATTGATCAGCTTGCAATGAGTCTCATCTGTCCACTATAGGTCCTGTCTGACCAAATACGAATTGACCAATTACGAATTATCACGTCAACCTTTGTAAGAGAAAGTTATGAGAAATTGTTTGTCAATCTATTTTTATTCTAAAAAATATAATCAACCCAATAATATTATACTTACAAAAATTTATATATAAAGTGAGATAACAAAAAATAAATAAAAGAGTAAAACAAAAAATCAAACTCATTATATTTACTCATCTATTTTTTTTTGTCACAACGCCTTATATTCATTTTTTTGTAAGGGTAACATTGCTTTAATCAACCAGCCTCGTAATTCTTCGTGTGGCAATCCAGGCCATCAAGTACTAGATGTTGTGAAGGGTATAACGGTAAGAGTAATGCTACAGTTACCGAAGGATGTGCACCGAATAACGTGACGCAATCCTGACCGTTGATTCATAATAAGTTAATATTAATCGACGGTCAAGATTTTACCACATCATTCGATGCATGAATTCAGTGTGTAATTTTCGGTAACTCCATCATTTTCCATAACTGTAATTTCGACATGAGGAAACGAAAACACTATCAGAGGACAAATTTATTCAACCACCAACGGCCAACCTCTACCCCTATGCACAAACAAAATTTGACAATCTTACCCTCACAAATCTGAAAATAAAAGCCAATTTCTTTATAAATTTGGAAGCAATTGCTATGTACAGTTTTTTTTTTTTTTTTTGGTACAATAAATACGTATAAGATATTAAGAATGTTTCTGAAATGTATTGTACAATAGAAAGTGGTGAATAAGTATCTGCAGCGTCACCTACTTTGTTTCATCGTCATCTGTATCAAGCTCAAGGCCCTCCGCAGCTAAAAGCTGACTGATGACCCTTTTCTTTTCATCCTCTGATTTCTTTCTCATCAAGTCCCTTTTCTTTAACACAAGTGTATGCCGCTTCAAAGTATTGGTAAAATACTCCCTGGATGCCTTTTGCTCTTTAGCCAAAATTTTTCTTTCTTCATCAGGGTCAATCTGAAATTTCATCAAAACACAAATTTCTGATGTATTTGTAGAGAAATGCAGAGATAACAAGGACTAGATAGCTTCATTTGTTTTGGGAAAAACTAATATGATGAGAAGAACTTGACTGCATTCGGAATTGTAACAACAATAACCATGGAAATAATTTAAGGTAATAGTAACAACAATGGCAATAAGTGTAGTAATTTTGAGGCACGTGAAATAGTAATGAGATAATGGGTATTACAGTTCAAATTAACACTTATCTAGAAACACCTTAACCTCTAGGAGCTAAGGCATTCATGATCCTTCAGAATCTTAAGAGGGGAAATATGTATGGGATGATAGATATTAGGGTTCAGATAGATACTGTCCGCTAGAAATAAATAACTCCAAAAATTTATAATAATAGACGACAGCTGACAGAAGAAACCAGAAAGAACATGATTTACACTAGGTATAAAATTTTATAATTAAAAAGGCAATAACTAATAGAGCCAAATGGTGGGAAGATAATTAGGGAGCTCTTGATTGCAAACCACTTGATAATATTCATATTACTTAATACCTTTGAACGAGAAAGACGGCGTGCACGAAGATTTAACTGAAGCTGCTGCTGCTCAGCCCAAGCTGCAATTGCCATGTCACCCCGCTGATCAAAAGCTTTTCTCTTTTTTATAAGCCATTCCATCCATGCTTGGGATGCCTAGCAACAAAGAAACATGAAAATGCCATTAACCAAAGGGTGAAGTTGAAAAGTAAATAATTACTGGCCAGAAGAAGAGACTTGAATAATCAAAGAAACCCCTACATACTTTAGCACAGCCAGAAATTCACGGTTTTATACTTTATGCACAATTAGCAAAACTCCCACATAATTTAAGCCCTAAAGGGTGAAGTGGAGCCCTTTAGAGAACACTTATATTTTTCCCTCTTAAGGAGAAAAAGGACTGGAGGACGAGAGGGTTGGCAGAACTTCATTTAGTATGTAACAAGGAAATGTACATTCCTTTGAACTCTAACAGAATCAAATTCTCTTAAACTTGTAAATTGGAAAATTTACATGCACAAATTCTTAATTATAAGCTATCTAATAACTGAAAAAAAAATTAACATTTACGTAAGAGTGTTACCTTCATAGGATTGACTCGATTATCCATATCATATTGCCTTCGTTTTTCCTCATCTATCAGCAACTCGTAAGCTGCTTGAATCTTAATGAATCTAGCTTCAGCTGTTTCTCCTTCTTCAAGGGTCCCTCTACCATCATATACTTTAAAAAAGAAAAACAACGACTAGATTAGTAGAGAGTCGCAGAACAGATGCAAAATATCAAGTAGATACCTAACCCACCTACATTTTGATTTCCTCATTTGCCTTTCATAAAGGATTGACACGAAAATTTACATTTGTAAAGTGAATAGGTCTAAAGGAAGGAACAAACCATCTGGATGATAGAATTTCGCCAAGCGCCTGTAAGCAACCTTTATCTGCTCTTCATCAGCATCCCTTTCTAACTCTGCATTTAACAATGAAAAAATTGCAACAAAAATTTTTAACTTTATTAACAAAAAATAAATAAATCAAAATACAGAGTCAAAGTGAGAATAAAAACATCTCACTTAATTACTCAGTGTTCTAAAAAAAAATGCCATTCGTCCACTAAAAAAAAAAAAAAAAAAAAAAAAAAAAAAAGATTTAGTTAAGTTGCCTCGAGTATAAACGACTGAGTAGCAGAGCATAAGTATCCTGTGTTTGAATTCAAATAAAGAAAATTATTACCGAGGGTTTCGTAGGGAGATTTTTGGTCGGCCCAATTGGAGGCACTAACAACAGTTCTTCTCTGAGTTACGCGAAACCACGACTCGGTCCGATTCAAATCTCTGGAACCAAACCAAGGAGACAATCGAGGTTTATAGCTAGGGTTTCGAAATGAAACCCTAATTACCGAGCGAGCTTGGTCCCTGTAACTTATAAGTGAAGTGAACACCGCGTGAGGCCGACAGATCGTTCTCAAATTGCCGCTCATTTTTTTTTTTTTTTTTTTTTCAGAAGAACCAAATCCAATAACAAAATTAGGGCTTTTATTTTATTTTTCTCAAGAAATTAAGGTTGAAGACGTGAAGGAAGTGAAAAGCTTATGATAATGAATCTTTCGAATCTGACGACTGAATCTCAGTTTTTTGGGTATTTTTATTTTTATAAAAAAAAAAAAAGTTTAATTTTCAGCTTCTCTCGTTTTTTTTTGTATTTTTATTTTATTTTCATAATTTTTACCCGGGAAATTTGTGGCTTGCCGTGATCACAGTTGGGATGTGTAATATTACTATTTTACCCCTCCTTCCTGAAATAATTTCTAACTCATTATAGCGATGGAGTCCAATTCATGTTCTTTTTTTTTTTGTTTTTAAATTAGGGTTACATTATTTATAGTATCAAATGTATTTGGTTCATAAGAGGTTGATATGATGAGATTAGAGGGGCACATAATTAAAGAATCATATCATAAACATAGAACTTGATACTAAAATGAGGAGGGAAACCTAAACCACCAATTTATGATTCGAGTCCCAATGATAATTGATCAGCATCTTCATATGAAACCTCCCACCTACTTTGCCAACTTTAGAGGGCTAGGGATGCAGAGAATATGTTCCCGCTATAATAATTTCATGCGAAGATTTGGGCTCCGTTTGTTTCACTCTTTCGAATATTATTTTAGTTTTTCTCAATAAAGTTAAACAGTAAAATTGGTTTATTCTCACAATATTATTCTATTTCTTTTAAATTCTCCTAAATTTATTAATTTAACTAAACATCTCCAAATTTTTTTTTTTAAATTACAAAAACACCACAATAACCCACATTTACCATATTCTGGCCACCACTACCGGAAGCTGGCCGAAATCTGGTATAATACCGGTAGTGCACCGATCTAGCCTTTTCCGGTCAGATCTATGGTGGATCTAACCAGAAAATGCCAGATCTACGACCAAAGATCTGGCCGTAGCCAATCGTTAACGACGCCCGTATCTTTGGTCGTCGTAAATGACCAAACGCGTCAATGGTCAGATCTACGGCTAGATCTAGCCTTTTCCTGCCAGATCCACCGTGGATCTAGCCGGAAAAGGACATATCGGTGCACGATCGGTAAGATCCAGTCGATACGGTGACTCCGGCCACCCTCCAGCGGTGGTGGCTAGCTGTCCGTATTCAATGGGTAGGTTGGGGGTGTTTTTGTTAACTTTTAATATTTTATTATAGGGGTGTTTAGTAAATAAACAAACGTATGGGGTATTTTTGTTAATTTTCAAATCCTATATCGTAAAACCCACCCAATTTAACTTTTTTCAAAATATTATTATAAAAACTATATAATAATGAAACAAAGGGACCCCAAATATTTTTCTTACTTCTTTAATGGCCAGATTTTGTCAAACACACAGAATCTGTTGAGGTAATTTCAAGCTTTGCTTTTTCAATCTTAACTAATAAATGGGGAATATTTTTGTCTAGAATATCATGTACAACCAACCGTCCAACTTTGTAATTCATGACTACATTTTTTGAACGATTTGACAATCTTTTTTTTTTTCTTTTTTTTTTTATCACTGCAGGTGTCTGGACTAGCTTGCGTGTACCTTAACTAATCTNAGTTAAACATAGAACTTGATACTAAAATGAGGAGGGAAACCTAAACCACCAATTTATGATTCGAGTCCCAATGATAATTGATCAGCATCTTCATATGAAACCTCCCACCTACTTTGCCAACTTTAGAGAGCTAGGGATGCAAAGAATATGTTCCCGCTATAATAATATCATGCCAAGATTTGGGCTCCGTTTGTTTCACTCTTCCGAATATTATTCTGGTTTTTCCCAATAAAGTTAAACTGTAAAATTGGCTTATTCTCACAATATTATTCTATATTATTCAATTTCTTTTAAACCCTCCTAAATTTATTAATTTAACTAAACATCTCCAATTTTTTTTTTTAGAAATTGCAAAAACACCCCAACAACTCACATTTACCAGCTTTCGACCACCACTACCGGAATCTGGTATAATGGCGCACTACTGGCTGGCCATTAGTGTGTCGATCTAGTCTTTTTCGGCCAGATCTATGGTAGATCTAACCGGAAAAAGCTAGATCTATGGCCAAAGATCTGGCCGTCAACGGCCAATTCTTTGGCCGTAGCCAGTCGTCAATGACGGCCGTATCTTTGGTCGTCGTAAACGACCAAACGCGTCAATGGCCAGATCTAGCCGTAGATCTGGCATTTTCCGGCCAGATCCACCGTGGATCTAGCCGAAAAATGGCATATCGGTACACGACCGGCAAGATCCAGCCGATACGACGACTCCGGCCACCCTCCGGCGGTGGTGGCCAGCTGTCCGTATTTAATGAGTGGGTTGGGGGTGTTTTTGTTAACTTCTAATATTTTATTATAGGGATGTTTAGTAAATAAACAAACGTATGGGGTATTTTTATTAATTTTCAAATCTTACATCGTAAAACCCACCCAATTTAACCTTTTTCAAAATATTATTATAAAAATTATAGAATAATGAAACAAACGACCCCAAATATTTTTCCTACTTCTTTAATGGCCAGATTTTGTCAAACACACAGAATCTGTTGAGGTAATTTCAAGCTTTGCTTTTTCAATCTTAACTAATAAATGGGGAATATTTTTGTCTAGAATATCATGTACAACCAACCGTCCAACTTTGTAATTCATGACTACATTTTTTTAACGATTTGACAATCTTTTTTTTTTTCTTTTTTTTTTTTGTTTTTATCATTGGGAGTGTCTGGACTAGCTTGTGTGCACCTTAACTAATCTTTGGGACCCTAAAACTACCGATCAGATAAGAGTCCTAATGGTTACCCCTATTAGTGCCTGAGGAATTTGAACTCAAGAGTTCATGAAACCTTTTTTTGCTCTTTTACTATCAGGCTACCTGGTAATGGTTAAAGACAATCACAATAGTCACTTTGTTGAACAATAAAGACTCAAGTAATTCTTGTATTTTATATATAGGTTTGTTTAAGAAACTTCTATATATGATTGGTCGAGTCTTAATCTCATAACATTTTATTAGATTATGAATGATAGACTATATTTTAGTATATGTTACGAAGATTTGTCGTTTGTTTATTAAAATTCTGATAATTTACATAATCAAATCACTAAGACATATGATATATTATGGGCATTCAAAAATTATTAGGACCAATATTTTGGTGCACATTCATGTGGCAATTAATGGGCAGAGTACATTAAGCAATGCAAAATCCTTCAAATCCAACTTAATGCACTCTAGAAATGCTTGGAATCATATTAACCAAACAATTTTTTTTACAGTACCACCAATCCTCATAAACATTATAAGTCTCCAATTCAAATCAAACTTTCTGATGATATATACTTACACATGAACCATCAACTTAATAACCTAATTCTCCTCTTGATGTGCGCAGAAACAAAATTCATATATATTTACACCTGTTCATATTTGAGGTAGCCGCTCTTGAGAAATAAAATTCAGACAGATCATATTGTAGTCATGCAACAAAAGTTACAAGTATCCAATTCCTTTGCTGCTGACACTGAAACTTCTGGTGAAGAATACATCCTAGATATGATCCTTTTTCCAGGTCTTATTGTTGTAGACTAGGCAGGTTCGCGTGGACGAGCAGCCCAAAGTGAACTCAGAGCACGAAGACGGTGAAAATATTCTCCCAAGGCAAGTAAAGCTCGAGCTGCTTGACGGGTTGTTAGGATCCGGGACATTTGCTGCATTGTCTGTTGTCGAAGATGATCTGCCTGTTCCAAAGAAGTCCAAAGCATGAGAGAAATTTAGAAAAGCACTCGATTTTCATATGCAAACTATCAAAGAAATAATATTATACCTGGTTCACAAAGCTCTCTAGCGCTTCCAACTTCTCCACTGCATCAGCCATCTGAGACTGGTAGCTCCCTGAACTCATTTGATCAGATACTATGCTCTGGGCCAGAGTTTGCTGAAGTTTATCTATTCCTTGTGAAAGAGCTTCTTCAGCTTGCTGAGAAGATTGCTGAAGGTTACTCACGCATTGAAGCTGCTGATCAGTCAAGGGCTCAAGTTGTGGCAGAAGAATCTGTAAAATCAAAATCTGCAGTGTCACAATTCATGTGCTGATAGTCGCACCATGTGTATTATAAATAAAGTGAATGGTCTCAGCCAAAAACAGCGCAGCTAGTACATTTTATACACAGAATTGAATGAATGATGTTCTTGAAGATCGAGGATAATGGAAAAGGAGATTATAATCACAGTGAGCTAACAAATTTGAAATTAGAAGAAAAAAAAATCATGAAGAAGTCTAATGCTCAATGGGCTGACGATATAGGCTTGATTAAAACTGGATCAAACAATTCCCTAAGACCCACAACAAGCTGCAGACAAAATGCTCATAATCATATTAAACATTCTTTAAAGAATAGTTATCCTGAACTACATCTTACATTTAGAAGCTCTGATGGGCGGAATCCTCCTATCCATTGGAAAAAGCGTTCTGTTGAAGTTCTCCACACACCAGAAATCAGATAGAAGACATCAGCCTTGGCAGCATCGCCTTTCATGCGGAAAAGATTATAATAATGGTTCAAGCCACTTTCTACAAGTATTCGGAGCTCAATGTCAGTTATATGAGCTTGCATTGCATTTCTAAGCTCACATATCTGTCTATTTTGCTCTTCAATCCAGTGTGCATACTCAATCTCAAATGCAGCGATCCCTGCCATATGCAAAAATATAGTACTTTAAAAGAGAAAAAATATCTGTAGGCAGATGATATTTAACTTAAAATAGCTCAAAGAGAAACACTTCACGGTAAATAGGTAACTACTAATCATGCTACTTCAAAAGCAAAGTTTAACTTGTTTGCTGGAAAACCACAAGAGAAAGGTTTTGTAATGTAAAGCCAAAAGGGAGCTTTTTCTCATTATCATAAGAGGCAACTTAGTTCAAAGGATTGACTAAACACTTGAATTTGGATAGAGCAAAAGGAAACTATTAGACAAGAGGAACACTTCAGTATCAGCAAGTGAGGTTCACATCATTTTAACTTCAGTATTGTGTATTAAAAGATGTCAGACAGAAACAGATACAGCGAAGTGACTTTAGATTGTAGTTAAAGTGTTAAACACATACAGTTTAAGGATTCAATCGACTTAATGATGGTGATTGTCAGCACATAAAGCACAAACCTGGATTTACAATTCTAGACAACCCTAACTGACTGCCATCTGATGCAGCACCTATGAACATACCCTGCAAGAAAACATTCACCGATAGATTAAGTAGATAATAAATTTAATACTTTTACAAATTTGTTTTGACACAAGGATTATTTTTTTATAAAAGAGGGAAAATTTTCTCCAGACCTGGTGTCTTGTTCTTTCAAGTTCCTGCTCCAACTGTGCCAATTTCAAACGGCTTGATTCGAGTTGTTGTACATAGGCCTATCAAACAAAAAAGAAATATTATATAGTGAATAACGTCCATCAGGATAGGCTTCTATGGGAATGCTTATCCTTCTACCTTTTTCCGCAAACGACTTTTCCGAGCTGCTTCACGATTTTGTGCCAATCGTCTCTGTACCTATAAGTAGGAATATGTCTTTACATCATTGAATTTTCCATTGCAAAGAAGTCCAGCTAAGGTATAGTTGTCTTTGCTCCAATCAGAAACCAAATTATAAGGCAGCGCAACAACAATAAGATTTATTCTTGATTCAGAGGCAGAGGGAGAGGTAGAGGGAGAGGGAGAGAGAGAGAGAGAGAGAGAGAGAGAGAGAGAGAGAGAGAGAGAGAGCATATCATAGAATTTATATATCACCTTTTCAGAAGGTTTATTTGCTTCTTGATCACTTCTGGAAGGCTCCATTGAGTCATGAGAAACATATTCGGGCTACAGAAGTTAAACCAGAATAATGAGCCCAGAAATAAGATGAAAGAAACCTAAGATCCAGTAACCAAAGAAGCAAAATTCATGAATCTTTACCTTGTTGTCTAGCCTCGCATCCACCTCTACAATTGTGGATGAACCAGTATTTGGGCTGGCGTCACCTTGGAAGGTGTCTCCCCACATGTTGATCTGGTGGAATGGTTCATAAATGCTCATCCTTCTCAAGGTGGCAAGCTGAGTTGATGGAGAACTCATACTCTGATAATCAACAGAAACAAAATGAGATGCCAAAAGACAAAACTAAACAAATTTATTGAATGAGATTCAACATCCCTGAAACAGAGTTTGTTTATAAAATCACTTATTTTCATATCTTAGGAAGGAGGATGTGGAGATAAAATTTAATCCAAATGCTCCGGAAAAACCATTACTTTTTGGTACCCTAATCAACAACCGCCAATTTTCATGATATGTATCATTTCTTATCAACATTTAAGTGCAATGAAATATCTAAAGAAGATAAGCTATTCAGAAAGTGGCTAAGCACCTAGAGGTGATCTTCCACTTATGCATGATTTCATCAAAAAGTGAGATTACCCAAATCTAATGTAAAAGACAATTCGTCAAGCACACAAAAAGGGTAATTATTATGCTTCTGAACTTTTAGCAACTAATCTATATCATAAGATCTCCATGTCTCTCTCCCTAAATTCTCCATAATATCTGAAGAAATACCCTAAACGACGGGGGAACAACAAAGACTCCTCTCTTTTCCACCTTCAACCAAAATTTAACTTTTGCTTTACAAAATTACAGATCCTTATCTGCCCCCTTCAGGAATCTTGAACAGGACACAAATTGAAGATCAATATTAAATATAAGTAATCCTCTAGCAGTTAAAAGTATGCAGCTTAAATTCCCAAACTCCTAAACTTTTGCCCATCTTTTCCACCACAGGTCATGAAAATCAGAGCTCAAAAATTTGCTCCAACAGAGGTATGAGCAAAAAGGGAAGATGCAACAAAGATTATATACTAACTAATCATGTAAATATTTGCAACTTCAAAATCTTTAATCAAACCAAATATCCCCAGTTAAGCCTGGTGCTCTCAGTACTCTTCTGTGTATGAGATATAGTCTGTGATTGTACAAAAAAAATAATAATAATTCAAATTGACAAAATCCAATTATTGCAATCAAGATATGATCAGTAGCTTACGAGAATGAGACTGGGGATGCCTCTCACCACATGCTTTAATGCTAAAATGGCGCTAAAAACCACATGTTCACTAAACCACAGTAGCTACTGATTAGTAAGAACTTTCACCATACTTAAAAAGTTTCAAGCAAATGAAAGGAATTCATGAGAAGAACTCAATAAGCTATGAAAACAGAAAGAAGAGATTTCTTTTTTCTTTTTTGAAAAAAAGAAAAGTGATATCTTGAGCTGACAGAAGTAAATGATCACAAGATACAAAGAGACTCACCATCAAACCATCTTCCAAATCTCAATCTCTCTTCACTCTTCAGTTGTTCAAGAAAACCGACTTCAACACTGGAAGCCCTTTTTATAATACCAAACAAGAACCTAAAGCAACAGAATAATATAATTATAAAATAAAATAAATTGACTTGTCTTTCATTATAATAGAACGCTACAGTCAAACGTTAACGTCCTAGTGTTCCCACTTAAAAGTAGAAACACAACTTTGAAATTATGCGCAAACCCATCCATCTCCATCTCCACTTTATCCTACGCACTCCACACCCCTTAACCTACACCCACCTTACGTCCTCACCTTACGTCATTTCCCGGCAAAATTCTTCTGGGTTTAGCTTGAGAATCTCGCACGTCCAACGTGGAAGCATATCATTGGTGGCTGCCTCTGTTGCATGGTTGTTGAAGAATGTCCAGTAGCCCAATTGCGTGCTAAAACATTATTATATTATAAAATAAATAAATTCATTAATTCATACTTGTATTAGTAATACAGTTTTTTGGGACAATAATTATGAAAATAAATTTTGGTAAAGATAATCTGAGTTGGAACCGGGGCCAGGGTGAAAGTAATTACACGTAAGCATGTTGTCAGATCACACAAGAAGTTGAACATGCGCGCGTGTGATATATCTCCCGGCATTGGTGTAGAATAGCATCCATTTGCTTTTCGCTCGTGTGAGTAACTAAGTAACTAACTAATCAGCTTCTATCTTCACACGCGTGTAAAGAGATGTTTCCATCCATAATCTTAACCACAAATAACGAGATATTTACATTTTCATCCCCGGATGTTTGGGGTTTGTTGAAAATGCCCACTACTATGAGTAGAGATGGAACAAATAAGCTAGGTTAGGCAGGTCAACCCTAACTCGGCCAGCCTCAACCCGGGTTCAACTCGGCCTAGGTATACCCTATTGAGCGGTTGGGCCTTCATAGGCCAACCCGGCAACTCGGTGGGTTAAATTTTTTTTTTAAAAAAAACTCATCCAACCCACGGATCAACCCAACGGGTTGGACAAAAAATATTAAAAAAATCAATAAATTAAAAAAAAAATTGCAAAAACCCATTTTACCCTTAAAATATAGTCGTTTTATAGTTGTTGGAAAGGTCTTTTTAGTCATTTTCTTTTCCCCTTTTTTTTTTTTTTCTATAAATAGGGCATAAACTCTCATATTTCCTCACATCCCAAAGTCTCTCATTTTCTCTATTGAAATTTCTTAATCTCTTTGTTGTCAATTTGCTCTCATTTTAATTTTTATTAGTTTATGCAATTTTTCAATTCATATTTCCAAATTCAAATTCTCCTTCTTTAATTCTATATTTCTACTATGTCCAATTTTTTTTTTTTTTTTTGTTAACTGTAATAGATAGATATTTTCATCCCATCAATTTCGATGATGAAGAAAATTATCTTAGTCACCCCTGAATTTACTAACGTAAATGCAGTAGATTCAAATAGTCTCGCTTTTTCATTCTCAGAATTTGATACACGTCATAATATTCCCCCCATCCTCCCCATGCTGTTATAGCTCTCGGTAGTTCTAGAAGTCGTCCTCGTAATCGTCGTCCTCATCCAACTCCATGTCAAGCAAAAGCGGGTTCATCAACTGCAGTCGAAACCGACGATAGGCACACATCATACGTTAAGCGCATTTCGATAAGTTTTACGCGACAAAAAATGCAGTTCAAGTGAAGAAAACAAGATGCAAGTATTCTGGAAATATTTATAAAGCTAATGCAGGTAATGGTACTCGTACTTTAAAAAGGCATGCTAGTAAACATATGAATCAATATGGAAAGAGAGAAACCAATTAAACTCAAATAACTAATATGGGCACTACTTGACTTTATAATTCTGGTGTATATAAGAAACAATTAGTTTTATATATTGCTGTAACTAATCAACCTATTAATATGGCTGAAGATAAATATTTTAAAAGATTTATTAAAAATTCATTTTTTCCAAGATTTAAAAGTAATTTTAAAACTGCAACTATAAATGATTTAATAAAATTGTTTAGAAAAATGAAATTAGAATTAAAAAATAAAATACATAGTTGTCATGTTAGTGTGGCTCTAACCGTCGATATTTGGAGTGGTAGAGCTATATTTGATATTTGGAATGGTAAAGATAAACAAGACTATATTTGTGTGACTAGTCATTATTTTAATAACGAATATAAATTAAATAAATCTTTATTGTGATTTAGATTAATGGATGTGGATCATATTGGTCAACAAATTTATAATAAAATTGTTAAAGTTTTAAAAGATTATGATATTGTTCATAAAGTGATAAGTTTAATTTTATATAATATAAGTGCTAATATTAGAATTATAAATTTTTTTTAAATAAATTTTCCTTTTTATGACAATTTGATGTTTTTTCACCAACGTTGTCATGTCACATTATTAATTTAATTGTGAAAAGTAGTATGAAAAAAATTAGAAATAATATTGATAGAATTAAAGATTCTTTAACTTGGATTACTAGTAATAATAGAAGAAATGCTTAATTTCAAAATGCTTGTATAAAATTAAATATGTTTCCTAAAACTTGTTAGATGAAATAGTACTTATTTAATACTTGATTCATGTTTACCAAATACAAATTTAATTAGTTATTTTGTAGCAAATAATAGGGGTCCTCATTATTTGGCAGACAGTGATTGGCATATACCTCAAAATTTTCATTTTTTTAAAATTTTTTTTATCAATCCACTTTAAAACTTTACAATGTGTATTATCCTACTAGTTCATTGGTAATACATATAATTATAAAAATTTCAGATTTATTTAAAAAAAAAAAACCAGAAACAATGAAATTTTAGCGAGACCAATAGAGGCAATAGAATTAAAATTTAAAAAATATTGGAAACTCCTTCCTTTTCTTTTTTGTTTAACTGCCATATTTGATTTTATAATTAAATTAGCGCATTTAGAAAATGGTTTAGACACATTAAGTGAAAATTTATGAGACGAAGCATATGCCAATCAACTAAGAGAGATAAGATAGTATCTTGCAGAGGTATATTTTCAATAGGAAAACAGGTATGGGAACCACCGAAGAGATGAAATACCCGAGGAAGTAGCATAAGAAGAAACAAATGAAGACTTCGACTCCTATAGTGCACTTAATAGGCCGAAGAGGACCCAAACCTGAAGCATAGCCTCCTCTTCAGAAGCATCAACAACGAATATATTGTTCTTCATGCAGTTACAGAGTAAAGAGCTTCACCAATATTTGGGAATCCCTGATGTGCTACTAGCAGATCCACAACAAAGAGCCAACTTTGATGTCTTAGAATATTGGAAAATCATAAAATATATTTTTTCGGTATTATTAAGACTCGCCTTGGATGTTTTCTCTGTTCCTGTCTTAACTGTTTTATCCGAATAAACATTTAGTTCAAGTGGAAGAATTTTAAATGACAGGAGGAATAAACTTTCACCAAAATTGATTGAAGTCTTCACATGTCTTCGAGATTGAGAACGATTNCTCTATTGAAATTTCTCAATCTCTTTGTTGTCAATTTGCTCTCATTTTAATTTTTATTAGTTTATGCAATTTTTCAATTCACATTTCCAAATTCTAATTCTCCTTCTTTAATTCTATATTTATTCTATATCCAATTTTGTTTGTTTGTTTGTTTTTTTTTTTTTTTTTTTTTGTTAACTAGAATAAATAGATATTTTCATCCCATCAATTTCGATGATGAAGAAAATTATCTTAGTCACCTAACGTAAATGCAGTAGATTCAAATAGTCTCGCTTTCCCATTCTCAGAATCTGATACACGTTATAATATTCCCCCCTTCCTCCTATGCTACTACAGCTCCCGGTGGTTCTAGAAGTCGTCCTCGTAATCGTCTTCCTCATCCAACTCCATGTCAAGCAAAAGCGGGTTCATCAACTGCAGTCAGAACCGACGACAGGCACACATCAAACGTTAGGCGCATTTCGATAAGCGACAGAAAATGAAGTTCAAGTAAAGAAAGCAAAATGCAAGTATTGTGGAAATATTTATAAAGCTAATGCAAGTAATGGTACTCGTACTTTAAAAAGGCATGCTAGTAAACATATGAATCAATATGGAAAGAGAGAAACCAATTAAACTCAAATAACTAATATGGGTACTACTTGGCGCTATAATTCTGGTGTATATAGGAAACAATTAGTTTTATATATTACTGCAATTAATCAACCTATTAATATGGCTGAAGATAAATATTTTGAAAGATTTATTAAAAATTCATTTTTTCCAAGATTTAAAAGTAATTTTAAAACTGCAACTATAAATGATTTAATAAAATTATTTAGAAATATGAAATTAAAATTAAAAAATAAAATATATAGTTGTCATGTTAGTGTGGCTCTAACCGTCGATTTTTGGAGCGGTAGAGCTAAACAAAATTATATTTGTGTGACTAGTCATTATTTTAATAACGAATGTAAATTAAATAAATCTTTATTGTGATTTAGATTAATGGATGTGGATCATATTGGTCAACAAATTTATAATAAAATTGTTGAAGTTTTAAAAGATTATGATATTGTTCACAAAGTGATAAGTTTAACTTTAGCTAATATAAGTGCTAATATTAGAATTATAGGTTTTTTTTAAAATTAAATTTTCCTTTTTATGACAATTCGAAGTTTTTTCACCAACGTTGTCATGTCACATTATTAATTTAATTGTGAAAAGTAGTATGAAAAAAAATAGAAATAATATTGATAGAATTAAACATTCTTTAGCTTGGATTACTAGTAATAATAGAAGAAATGCTTAATTTCAAGATGCTTGTATAAAATTAAATATGTCTCCTAAAACTTGTTAGATGAAATATTATTTATTTAATGCTTGATTCATGTTTACCAAATACAAATTTAATTAGTTATTTTGTAGCAAATAATAGGGGTCCTCATTATTTGGCAGACAGTGATTGGCATATAGCTCAAAATTTTCATTTTTTTTAAAATTTTTTTATTAATCCACTTTAAAACTTTATAGTGTGTATTATCATACTAGTCCATTGGTAATAAATACAATTATAAAAATTTTAGATTTATTATAAAAAAAAAAACA